GACCCTAGGGTCTGTTTACATGCTGTACATCTCTCTGACTGTATGACAGGAACAGATAGTGAGAGAATAATAATTATTCATACTGCATAAACAGACAAGACAGATTTGTAATTGCACTCGCATTTTCACAGAGCAGAGACTGACAGATATTCGGCAAACTATCCCTCAGTAAACCTGAATCTCTTAACAACACAATACTGCCCACAGCGTAATGAGGAAATCTCAGCTAATGATGAAACAAAATGATATTTTACACACAAAAGATTTTCATAAGCAGAATAAAACACGTCGTCACAATTAAAATCTTACAGGTACCGTGTTCAAAATATTGTTAAATGACAATAGCCAGTTCAATTTAAAGTGAGCCAAGAGGTTGTTCCATGTACAAAATTTCGGTCTGTATTTCACTTTTTGGTGCAAATCCTGGCAGATCCACATTGTGTCCCACATTAACCAATCACAGAGAGACTAAATGTCATGGTTTGACATTCTTGTAAACTACCCAATCAGGAACAAAGCTTTCCCCCATCCTTCATTATCATTGCTGACGCCATCAGGCTATAAAAAGCGAGCTCTGAGCCCGCTTTCCCTTATTCTGTGATAGTAGGAACTGCAGATGCTGGAGAATCTGAGACAACAAGGTGTAGAGCTGGCCAAGCAGCATCAGAGGAACAGGAAAGTGACCGACACTATGGCTGAAGAGAAGAAAGCGCAGCCAACTTCCAAGAAAGGCGCGAAGAAAATTATCAAGAAGGCGCCAGGGGAAGGTAGCAAGAAAAGGAAACGATCCAGGAAAGAAAGTTACTCCATCTACATCTACAAAGTGATGAAGCAGGTTCACCCCGACACCAGCATCTCCTCCAAGGCCATGAGCGTCATGAATTCATTCGTCAACGATATTTTCGAGCGCATCGCGGGGGAGGCTTCCTGCCTGGCCCATTACAACAAGCGCAGCACCATCAGCTCCCGGGAGATCCAGACCGCTGTGCGGCTGCTGCTGCCCGGAGAGCTGGCCAAGCACGCCGTTTCGGAGGGTACAAAGATGGTGACCAAGTACACCAGCTCCAAGTGAGGCACCACATTGTGCTGAAAAACACATCCAAAACCCAAAGACTCTTTTAAGAGCCATCCACAATTTTACTGAAGCAGCTGAACCATTTTGAGTTTGTAAATGATTCTGAGTATATATAATTAATGTCCCTAAGCTTCGTGAATGTTTTTATAAATGTTCTAAAAATTAACGTGTGATCCCTGACCCTCTGTCCTTTATTCGCGGTTGCCTTCATACCCAGTCTATTTTCCCTGCCTGTATAGACAGCATATTTATCGTCACTGAGTCATTTTTCAGCAACTTCTATGTGTTCAAGTTACTCTTTAATCCTTGGTCAGGGCAGCAACTACAGTGCCCCGTGGGGTATGAAACATGAGTTTCATCCCTGGAAAGAAAACTAACTGTTCGAGTCCCACAAAGAGATTTTGCAATTTACTCGTGCTTTTTTATTAATTTTCAAAACTCCATGGAGACGGCGTCAGATTTTTGCAGAATGCTGTAAATGAGTCTTTCAGCTGTCGGTGAGAGGCTTTCAAAATGAATGGGGATAAAGCCAGAGCAGCTGCCGGATTGCGATAGCAAGTGTGAAATTGTGGCTGAGGTCTGATCAAGGACAATAAGGGAGGGCAACTTCAAACTATTGTTTAAAGTTTTAACGCGCTCACCTGGAAGAACGTTGTGTGAGGTTTTATAAATATATCATGGTGCACTTGTAATGTGAAAGTGAATTAAATTCAAAGAAAAATTAAATTATTCATTCCTCTTTGTAAAACTTTTTCCTCTTTTCTGCACTTTGGAGGGTTTTTAAAACTTGCCTCGGTGGGTAATGAACCCTGAATTTCACCTGTGGTAACGCAAAAAATGACGTCGTATTTGAGTCCCACGAATAGAAATATCGTGCAATTTCTGTTTTGTTTCAATTTCCAAATCTCTACGTGAATTTATCCGACTTTTTTATTCAGTTTGCAGTATGTGGGGCTTTCTCGTGTCAGTGAGAGGCTTTCAAAATGAACCCAATCAACCGGAATCTAGCACACTAAGTCAGGGCCACTTTCTAAAATTGCCTGAAGACGGTGTTGCTTAGGGAGTGAGACAGAGAGATTGTGTGAAGTACATATTTGTAATCTAGAAGGAAATTTAATCTAAAGCATTTGTGCATTATTCTTTGTAAAACGCCTTCCTCGTATTGCCCATATTGGCGGGCTTTTCAATGATTCGGTTAATGATTTGGTGCCGGTATTTTCCAACGATTTCCGCGCTGAGGAATTTTGTTTTATTTTGAAATCTCCTCGTAGGTTCTGTCCGGTTTTGCAGAAAGCTATAAATGAGGCTTTCTGCTGTCGGCGGGAGAATTTCAAAGTGAACCGAGATGAAACCAGGACAGCAGCCGGACTGGCATAGCAAATGTGGAAATATTGTTGAAGTCTGGTTTAGTGCATTAGGGAGCGTGATTTTAAAAGATTGTTCAAAGCATTAATTGCTCACCCGAAAAAAAAAGTTGTCATGCTTTTATCAATGCATCCGGATGCTGATGTGAAATAGAATCTGTGCAGGGAACAGATTTCGGCAGTTTTTTTTTGCTTCCGTTCGTTCTTAAGCTTCGGGAAAAAATCCCTTCAAGATCACAAATGCAGATTGAAGTAGGCTAGGAAACGAGAGAGAGAGAGAGAGATTGTGTGAAGCATTCAGTGTAATCTAAAAGTAAATTAATTCAAATATGTATGCATTTTTCTTCATTAGACTTCTTACTGTTTTGTACATATTGGCAGGCTTTTGGAGTTTGAAAGAAAGCGGTTGATGATTTGGCGCCAGTATTTTCCGGCCTCCTCCCTGGGTCCCCTCCAGATTGGGGAATGAAGCAGATAGCTGATTGGGAATTAAAACTTTATTAGAAAATGCTGAACAATGTGACCAATCAGCAATGGCCGCACCACCATTCCTCCCGAAGGCATAAGAGGGCGGAATGTGGGCGCATTGCTGCATTGTCTGTGAAATTGTTTATGAGATTGTGGCTATATCTGGGAGAGGAAGGGGCGCTGGTGGGAAAGGTCGCTCCAAGGCCAAGTCTCGGTTGTCCCGGGCTGGCCTGCAATTCCCAGTGGGCCGTGTTCACAGGCTCCTGAGAAAGGGTAACTATGCTGAGCATGTGGGTGCCGGAGCACCCGTCTATCTGGCAGTGCTGGAGTATCTGACGGCTGAAATCCTCAAGCTGGTCGGTAACACAGCCCGGGACAACAAGAAGACCCGTATCATCCCCAGGCACCTCCAGCTGGCCGTGCGCAATGACGAGGAGCTCAACAAGCTGCTGGGAAGGGTGACCATTGCTCAGGGTAGGGTGCTGCCTAATCTCTAGGCCGTGCTGCTGCCCAAGAAAACCGATGGGGGCGCCACTAAAAAGTGAAAATGCCAGTATTAAATCTGACACCCCAAAGGCTCTGTTAAGAGCCACCCACAGCATCTGTGAAAGGTAGCTGGACCGTCACTAGTGACCTATTGGTTTTCCTTTTAGTGTGAAGACCCGCAACTCTGTAATGAGATTGCTATAACTGAGGATTTTTGTTTTTATGTAGACTTGCAGAATGAGCCAAGATAAAACTAGAACAGCTGCCTGACTGGAATAGTAACTGTGTAGGTTTAGCAGTACGGGACAGCGAAATGTAAACATTAGCTAAAGGCGGGGGCCCCATTAATACACTGACAGGGAACAACAGCGTGGAATGCCTACACAGCAGGAAGAGGCCATTCGAGTCTGAACAGACCCTCCAAAGAGCATATACCGAAGTAGACGAGAGGGAGAAGGGGTAAAAGAGAGATTGTGTCTCCTAAACTTTAAAATCTTTTGAATGCTTTGGCGGGCTGTTGAAATTTACACTAAATAAAAACCAAGAGAACTGCGGATACTACCATCCCACCAGCATCCACATCCCGAAGATCACCAGATGCCATTTCCGCCACCTCCAGCAAGATGCCACCACCACACACGTATTCCCCTAACCCCTTGTCCGCCTTCCGCAGGGACTGCTCCCTCCGGGACACCCTGGTCCACACTTCCTTCACCCCCAACACCTCCCCACAGCCCTACGGCACCTTCCCCTGTAGCCGGCGAGGGTGCAACATCAGCCCATTTACCTCCTCCCACCCCAGTATCCAAGGGCCCAAACATACCTTCCAGGTGAAGCAACACTTCACCTGCACTTCCCAGAATCCAGTCTACTGCATTCGCTGCTCACAATGTGGTCTCCTCTACATTGGGGAAATAAAACGTAGACTTGGCGACCACTTTGCAGAACATCTACATTCTGCTCGCAAAAAAGACCCCGAACTACCTGTTGCCTGCCACTTTAATGCACCACCCTGTTCCCTGGCCAACATCTCTGTCTCTGGCTTGCTGCAGTGCTGCAGTGTTCCAGTGAAGCTCAACACAAGCTAGAAGAACAACACCTCATCTTCCGCTTGTGGACCCTGCAGCCCTCCGGACTCAATATTGAGTTCAATAAGTTTTGGGCCTAAAATCTACCCCTCACAAGGCCTTGTTACCACATATCCTGCCATTATCCACCACCTACTGTTAGTCACTAATAGTCCCCATTAACTACTATTCAACCTCTCAGCCTGATCGTTATCAACTCTTTGTTTGTCCAAATGCTCTTCTCTTTCTTTAGGTTCTATCCTATCGTTTACTCAAGAACCCATTCCTCTCCCCTTTCTTCTGCATATAACCTGATGTTTTCCCAGCCACATCAATTCTGAAGAAGGGTCACCGGACCCAAAATGTTAACTTTGTTTTTCCTTCACAGATACTGCTAAACATAAAATCCCTCCAGGCCATTTGGCCCAACAAATCCACACTGCCCCTCTGAAGAGCACCCGACCCAGACCTATTCCCCCGCCACCCTGCATTTCACATGGCTAACACAACCTAGAGAAGCGCATGCGTGAAGCCCTCCCCCAGCGCTGCCAATGAGGAGTATTTACTGAGTGAGTGGAAGACGTTTGTTTGCAATGGAGAGATCAGCGCCAGGGAAGCTAGGGAACAGCAGGCTCCTTCCAGCAGCACATCGCAATGTGAGCCTGGGACAGAGAGGAGGGCTTCGAGACCGGCATTGATTCGGGCTCAGTTCAGGGAGAACCAGGGGCTGTCTGTAAGAGGCCGAGCAGAGCAGGAACTGGTCCCGGAACTTGGAGTGAGCGGTCTGAGGGGGATAGAGAGAGGCCTTTCTCGGGCTGTGTGTGGGCCTGCTGAGGGAGACCCAGAGACAAGAAGTTGTTGGGGGTCATTCTTGTGATTTTTCATCCTCTAAACACTGATGTAAATTCATCGTTTGGCTTCCGTTTTGCGCTGTTTCTGGACATTGTGCCGTGAACACGGGAAACATGCACTAGAGCAATTTTTTAACCCTGAAAAGGACAGGTAATTGAGTCACCAGGTTAAATTTCTCAACTGAAACATTTAAAATATCGCCCTTTGTTCTTCCTTTCAACAGTTAGTGTGTTGGGAGCCGGATATTGAACTGTGTAAGCATGCCTGTTGCTTCGGTTAGCCCCATGTATGGAGCTGTGCAGTTGTTGCTCAGTTTCTGGATCTCACTCACTCTGAATTATTTCAGAAAAAAATATAATTAGAATCCTCAGACAAGGAGCAGCTCTGGGCAACAGGGAATAAGACCTCTGGCTCTGTTCAAATTGCTAGTTTTAAAAGAAAAACACATCCTAATGATTATGAAATTAATGTTCTGTTGATTAGTTCAATACTGCCAGACTTTCTGTATGTTGATTTACAGGAGGTGTGTCTTCTGTCTTCCTCCAGGCAAGGAGGACTTGAAGGACCAGGAGGTTATATTTCCTTGGTACAAAGCCAAGTGTGACTAGCTGCTTCAAACAATCAGCAGGTATGTAGCCCATTGACATTGACAGCAGTTTTGAAGAAGGATAGACTGAATGGTCATCTGAAATAGACTCTCGGGAACAGCATTGAATCTGCATTGAATAAGGGCATTTTCAAAGTTACAATCAAGACAAACAAATAGATCATGCTGTAACATACCTCAGCGAGATGTTAAGTACAGAAATGGGAAAAAACTGCTCACTGGAAGTTACTAAAGTGGATGAAACACGTTTATATGAAGTTTATCAGTAACTGAGAAAGACAGAATTAATCCTTTGATGAATAATTCTTCCTCTCTCTCTCTCTCGCGCGCGCGCGCGCGCGCACACACACACACACACACTCTCATTGTCCAACGATGCATGTTACAATGTGGAACAACCAAATCATTCTGTATACACTCCAAATCATAGCAAATGAGACATTCAAAATGATCTCCACGAACAACCTTAAGTTATAGAGCTCTGCAGCACAGAAAAAGGCCCTTCAGCCCATTGGGTCTACACCAAAAAAAAACAGCGAACAACACTAATCCCAATCAGCCAGCATTCTATTTCCATGAATGTATCGAACTGCTATCCTCAACCTTATCATAACATTATTCTCCATTTCTTCACCTTACAGGAGTTAACATTTCTTTCTTTTTTTTCTTCAGTCCAGCAAGAAACATTTCTACAAAGGGCTTGACATTCCTCTTGACCTTCCCTAGGGTACAATCATGTCAGTTTCCAAGTTCTTCTCTGTTGGATGCCAGACACACGTGAGCAAAATTTGGAATACACGTTCAGACCAGAGACTGACCAATCTAAAATGAACTTACAATCAGAGACTGACAAAGGGAGAAATGCATCAACCTTCACTTATAGCCCCTGTCACAGATGGCATTAGATAAAGACTAATTCATGTCGAGCAGCCGAGATTAAAACATTCAAACAAACTCCTGCAACTTCTAAAAGTGACATGTTCATTTTAAAATGATACTCCTGCACTGTGAAATACAATGACAAATAATGAGGAGCAGATTGACATATAATGCCAGACACTGAATAAATTCCATGCTCACTGTCAGCCCGGTACTGATGAAAACTCACTTGATCAATGCTCATACTCTGGTCGAGAGACTGACTCTTGCAGAAGCATGTCCACTCTTTCTCAATGTATGAAAAATTGATTTACAGTACATTAATCACACCTCATGAAGAGTATCAGATCATGACATGCAGAGCTAGAAACACAAGGAGACATACAGAAACAGGCAGTGTGACTTGAATCAGTACCAGTCTTTAAAGTTATACGGATCAGGAGCATGCAAGAAAACTTGCTCACGGTCAGTCATTGAACGATGAAAGGAAAAGAATGAAATTTAGCCATACACAGATTTACAGATATGGACAAATGTAAATTGACACTCAAACTCACCGATCACAACAGAAAGGAGGTTAGTGTTAGATGTTTGTTTGTTACAGTGCCCAGCAGTGACTGACAAAGCCCACTGTGCACTCAAATTAAAAAAAAACTGAGATTGAATGCAATGAAATTAAGCCTCACGGTAAGGACAAATGTCAATGCAAAATCAATCCCTCAATCACACAAGGTCAATGAATATCTACAGAGTTTATGCTACATTCAGACACAAAAACACAAATGAACATGGAAGGAGAATGAAATCCATATACTGTACCTGAGACTGTTGCAGACACCACAAAGCTGGCACTGTAGCTATTCAAAGGTAGATAACTACAGAACTAATGTCAAATTGGCACTAACAGATGGACACTGGCAGTGAATAGAAGAAGTTCACATTCCCAACACTTACTGGAAACTAGTATGCAGAATAGAATGTCCCAGTGCAAGCACAATGGGCTGAATGGCCTGCTTCCACACTGCACCTCATAATGATTCTGATCCTGGTGATAAAGGAAATGACATTCTGTTGTATAGAGCATTAGTATAAAAATATAATGTAGAAATAGACAGACAGGTGCAGAACAAAACTCTTTTTAATGAAAGAGCACTAACAATGTCCAATACAAAATGAATCTAAATATCTCATTGATACTACAGAACCCTGGAAAAAAAAAATCCTGTAATGACACAGAGAACCAGCATCTGGTACATGTGGTATATAAAACCCACACTCAGCGTGCAAACTAGGAAACATGTTGTTGATTCAGAATGGTTCTCAGATGAAAGCAGCCCCACTCCTATGACCCCTCCTAGACCCTGCCAACTGATAGTCCACTCAGAAGTCACAAAATGCAGAAGAGATTAATACCCAGTCTCAACACCCTAATAGCTATATCAGAATGTGTTGCATAGTCACGGAGAATATTACTGGCTGCCAGAGAATCAAGGCACATTGATACACAATAGTAGAAACTGACAGGTACAGATTGATACCTACACTGACTCATTCACATTCCAGAAACAGACAAAAGAAAGCTGATGACAAAACTCACATTCACATGGCAGGAATTGATAGGTACAGATTTATCATGCCACTCATATTCAAACAGCAGAAATTGACAGGCATGGACTGATAATTTTACTTGCCCATTCACACAGCAGAAACTGACTGGGAGAGAATGATAAATGCATTTACACATTCAAAACCCAGAAACTGACAGGTACAGATTAATAACTAATAACTCTCAGATCCACAGAGCTGGAACTGACACAGACAGATGGGGAAATGCACTCACACATATATGTTGCAGATACTGACAGGAAGAATATTATTATTACATACAAATTCACAGAGTAAAAACTGACAGGTACACATTGATAAATGCATTTACACATTCAAAGCCAGAAACTGACAGGTGGAAATTGATGTAAAATCATGCATTCACAGAGCATAATGATTGATAATGACAGTCTTGGTTTCAAATAACTGACGGGGACAGATTGGTAACTTCACTCACCGATTCACAGAGCAGAAACTGACAGGCATAGACCGATAATTACACTCATCTACTGCCAAAGGTTAAGATCGAAAATGACATGCACATATTCACAAAGAAGAAACTGACAGGTATTCACTGATAACTAAACTCATATATTGACATAACAGAAACCGTAAGGGATAGACTGATCCTTACACAAACATATTCACCAAGCAGAGGTTGACAGGTACAGATTGATAACTACATAAACATATTCACACAACAGTCTGAACAGACCGATGTTAAACTCACATATTGACAGAGCAGAAACTGACAGGCAGAGATTGACAATGAAACTCTCATTCTCATAGCTGAAACTGACAGGTATAGGTTAATAACGACATCCTCATATTCACACAGAAAAACAGACTGTTCAGAATGATAAATTCATTCACACATTCACAAACCAGAAACTGACAGGTGCAGAATAATAACTACATTGACATATTTACATAGCAGAAACTGACATGGATAGAATAAAAATATCACTCTCAGGTTCATTTGGCATAATCTGACCAGTATAGTTTGACAACTAAATTCATTTTCACAGAACAGAATTTGCCAAATAAATATTGATAACTATACTCCCATATTGACAGAGCATAAACTGACAGGCATAGTTTGATAACTGTACTCACATATTCCAAGAGCAGAATCTGACAGGTACAGATACATAACTGCACTCACATATTAACATATCGATTACTATCTGTTAGTTCTAGCTAACAACATTCACATATTGATATAGAAGTAACTGACAGGTTAAAAATTGATAACTATATTTACATATTCCCAGACCTGAAACTGACAGTTATAGAGTTGTAAATACACTCATGCATTCACATATGAGGCTGACAGGGACAAATTTAAAACTACATTTCACAGAGCACAAGAACAAGAACAGATTGATCATTGCACTCACACATTCACATAGCAGGAACTAACAGGTACAGATTGATAATTATACTCACATTTTGAAGTATCAGATGCTTGCAACCAGAGATTAATTACTACACTCTCATATGCACAGTGCAGAAACTGACAGGTGACTTATAACTGCACTCAAACATTCACATGGCAGAAACTAATATAAACAGATTGATAACAACTCACATATTTATATGGCAGAAATAGACAGTGACTGATTGCTGTGTGGATATGTAAATATATTTATCAGTCAGTCTCTGTCAATTTCTACAATGTGGATATGTCAGTTTAGTTATCAGTCTGTACTTGACAGTTTATGTAATGTGATCATGTGAGGGGAGTACAGTGGATGTTGTCTATATGGATTTTCGTAAGGTATTTGACAAGGTGCCACATAGCAGACTGGTCCAAAAAGTAAAAGCCTGTGGGATACAGGGTAATATGCTGAATTGGATCCAACGATGGCTCAGTAACAGGAAACAAAATGTAATGGTTGATTGCTGCCTTTGTGAATACAAAGCTGTTTCAAGTGGTGCTCAGCACGGCTCACTGTTGGGACCCCTGCTATTTGTTTTCTACATTAACAATTTGGACTTGAATGTGGAGGGCTCATTTGAGAAATTCGCAGACAACACAAAACTTGGCCATGTAGTAGGTAGTGTAGAGGATAATTGTAAGATGCAAAATGATATAGATCATTTAGTTGAGTGGGCTGGAAAGTGGCAGATGGAGTTCAGCTCTGATAAAGGTGAGATAATGCACTTTGGAAGCTCAAACATTAAATGGAAATCGAAAATAAATGAGAATATACTGAGAGGGGTAGATGAAGTGAGAGATCTTTGCATGCAGGTGCACAGATCCCTAAAGGTAGCAGAACAGGCATTTAGAGTTATAAACAAGGCATGTAAAATGCTATCCTTCATTGGCAGTGGTATGGAATACAGAAGTAGGGATATAACTGTGAAACTGTATACGGAACGGGTGAGGCCACAACTGGAGCATTGTGTGCAGTTCTGGTTACCACATTACAGGAAGGATGTAATTGCTGTGGAGAGAGTGCAGAGGAGATTTACTAGAATGTTGCCAGGGCTGGAGATTGTAGCTACGAGGAGAGATTGGAGAGGTTGGAGTTATATTGCTTAGAATACAGGAGGCTGAGCAATGTCATGATTTAAGAAAACTAAATTGTGAGAGGGAGAGATAGAGTAGACAGGATGAACCTGTTTCCCTTGGCAGAAACTGTTCAAAACCAGAGGGCATCGATCGAAGCTCAGTGGCTGAAGGATCAGACGATACTTGAGGAAAATTGTTTTTTAATGCAGAGGGTGGTGGGTATCTAGAATTTGCTGTCTGAATTGGTGGAGTCAGAGACTCTAAACTGTTTTAAAGGTAAGTTACCTGGATCTGCACCTTTAGTTCTGTAAGCTGCAGGGTTATGAGCGGTATGCAGGAAGATAGAACAAGAAGGGATCTCTGGAGGTCTTTGGGTCAGCTCGGGCAAATGGGCTGAATCGTCCACTCTGTCCTGTGTCATTTTTATGGTTGTATAGTTATCAACCTTTCCCTGTCAGTCTCTGCTGTGTGACTATGTAAATATATTTACAGAGACTTGACATGAACAGGTTGACTGGGCTGTGCACACCACCTTCTGTAGTTTCATACAGTCCTGGGCAGAGCAGTTGCTACACCAGGGCATTATGCACCCAGACAGTGACACTTTCAATTGTGCATCTGTAGAAGTTGGTGAGAGTCCCTATGGACATGCCAAATTTCCTGAGCCGCCTGAGGAAGAAGAGGTGTTGTTGTCTTCTTGACTGTTGCATCTACGTAGGAAGTCCAGGGCAGGTTGTTGGTTATTGTCACTCTGAGGAACTTGGTGCTCTCCACCCTCTCAACCTCAGTTCCATTGATGTAGATGAGGGAGGTGGTGGTGGGGAGGGGCATGTTCTCCTGCTTTCTTTCTGAAGTCAATGAACACTTCTTTAGTTTTTCCGACATTGAGAAAGAGGTTACCTTCACTGCACCAATGTCATCAAGCCCTCTATCTCCCTTCTGGGTTTTGACTCATGGTTGTTAGATATGTGCCCCACTATGATGGTGTCATCAGTGAACTTGTAGATGGTGATCAGTTGGAATTTGGCACCACAGTTTTGGGTGTACAGTAGGGGCCTGAGGATGCATCCTTGGGGGGTGGCCTCCAGTGTTGAGTGTTATTGTAGAAGGATGCAGTTGTCTATCTTTACTGATTGCGGTCTACGAGTCAGAAAGCTGAGGATGTGATTGCAGTGGGCGGAGCTGAGACCAAGGCCATGGAGCTTTAAGATCACTCTGTACGGAATAATGGTGTTGAAGGCAGAGCTGTAGTCAATGAGCAGGAGTCTGACATAGATGGCTTTGTTGTCTAGAAGTTCTAGGGATGAATGATCTCCTACAACCTCTTGCATCAGGCAGAAAATACAGAAACCTGAACATATGGATGAGCAGGTTCAGGGCCAGCTTCTTCCTGGCTATTCTAAGTTGATGAATGGACTCTTTAGCCTCAAATAATGACGATCTTGCTAATGTTGATCTCACTGAGTGCACACCCTGTGTAATGTAACCTGCATGCCTCTGTCTAAGTCGTTTTGATCTGTACATCTTTGCTTACTGTGATCTGACTGTACTACTCGTAAACAGAGCTTTTCACTGTATCTCGCTGCATGTGAAATTTTTCAAAAAAATTAACATAGTATATACTGACAGGTACATATAGATAACTACACACACACATTCAACAAGTGGAAACTGACAGTTATAGATCGATAACTAAACTCACAAACCCACATACCCACTTGCATCGGGTAGTCCCATTCACGCAGCTGTATCGGTGTTGGTTAGTTTTCGGATCTCACTCAACTGGCTATTAGAATTTTAAGAAAAAATAGAGAAGGAGCAGCTCAGGGTAGGATTAGAATCAGACCCTGGTTCTGTTCAAATAGCTAGCTCTAAACGAACAATCCTAATGAATTATTAACTGAATGTTACATTGATCAGATTGATATTGCCAATCTCGGCTGATGTTGGTTTACACCAGGGTCTGATTCTAATCCTACCCTGAGCTGCTCCTTATCTATTTTTTCTTAAAATTCTTCTGTCTTCCTCCATGCAAACACTTGAAGGACCAGGACAATGTGGTATTTCCTCAGTCCAAAACCAAGTGTGACCAGCAGCTGACAACAGCCACCAGGTATGTTACACTGCCAGAGCATAGAACATCCTAGCCACAGTGATAGCAGATTGAATCAAAGACAAATTCAATGTAATTTCCAGAGAGATATGCTCTAACCAAGAGTCAAACACCACCGAGGAAATACCAGTGTATATCTTTTATCTATATTCTCAATGCAAGCCACCCAGTTCCAAACAATTTCACTATTCACATTGTCAAAAACTTTTGAGGAATGACAGACTGAATCCTCATGCAAAATATATATACACAGGAACTGCATGAAATCTGGATTTAGTAAGGGCGCTTTTAGCGTAACAATAAAGGTGAACAAATAGATGATGCTGTTAGTTTGACCAACCACATGGGAAGTAGATATTGAGTACAGATATTGAAGCAAACATTTCAGTTAGCAGGAACAGAAAGACAGAATGAATATTTTAATGAATATTTGTCCCATACATAGTCACAACACTTAAATAATGTGAAATCCAAATTCACATGCTGTGCCAAAGCCTGACGAGAGTGAATTGTTAATGTACACTCTCACTCCCTCTCTCGCAACCTCCCCCTCTCTCACACTGACAAATACATACACCATCCCAACACACATTCCAACATATATCAGCCATGCAGTGCCATATACATTGCAAGTAACAGAAAATGTTACATTCGGAATGATTTCTACTCACAGATCCATTGTTAGAGAGGTCTACAGTCCTTCAAATTATTGAGTCTGCACCGATCAAAAACAAATACAATTCTCATCCCATTCATCCAGCATTTCATTCACATAAATGTATGATAGCAGCAGAGGAGCTGCCATCCCCACCTTTATCACAACATTGTTCTCCATTTCTTCACCTTTCAGGAGTAGACTTTGTTTTGTCTTTTTCACTCCAGCAAGAAACCGTTAGTACCTCTTTCAAATTAATCTCAATTTTCTACAAAGAGCCTGGCATTCGTCCTGGCCCTCCCTAGGATGTATTACAGAAAAATATCAAGATATCTGAATACAATTTTCGCAATGAATCAATGTAATCAAGTAGTCACCCATTCAAAGCAGTGGACAAGATAAAAGTAGACAAAATTGGTAGGTTTGTGAAATGCTCATTTTGTTCCAAAGCAGAGTTCAACAGTGTTGATTGTTCAATAAATTGAGTTTCACAGTTTTAAATCTGCTGCACTCGTGACTGAAAATAAAATTCCTTTTCCTTTCCACTTCCCTACCATAGAACAACACAAGAGTACCACTAATTGCTTGCACCATCACAGCACAGAGTTGGGTAATGTCCTGTCTACATCAGAAAATAAATTACGCATTTGTCTTTTCTGTACAAGCAGCTGTGGTCAGTCAGCTGTAATGCAGTTGAATTGTTTGTTGCCTTTCACTTAGTTTACACTGATTGCTACTTTAGCATTATTCAGAAAAGTATATCAATACACACTGAAAAAGAAACAGATGTTATTCTGACGACCAACACTTTATATCATTACTCGCTGTTAGATTCTGCGCTATACAAGTTACAGAGGTCCATTGTGTTTCCAGTCTTGAATCTGAGGAACAGCACAGAATCCTTTCTGTAGCAGTGTGTTGCATTTCACTTGCACATGATTCCCACAGGCACCAACAATTAAAGAACTTTGGCTTTTTCCCATTCACTACAGGAGACGTGAACTGAGATACAGACTGGCAGCACAAGGGAAAACTCACTCACACACAGCCAGTGGATGCTGAAAGGAAAAGAATGAAATATGGACTCACAGTAATTTCCAGATATGAATTGACTCTCAAAATCACTGATCACACCTCAGGATGTTGGATTATTACAGTGCCCAGCAGTGATGGATAAATTCTACGATACACACAACCTCACACACAATGTAAAAACAAACTGAAACTGAAATACAATGCAGTTAAGTATCATTGAAAAGAGTTTATTTACAGAGTTTACCACTCAGCCATAAAACAACAACTGAACATAGGAGAATGAGATCCATATACTGTACCTGAGAGTGTGGGAAACATATCAAAACTGCCATATCGTTATTAAAAGTCAGATGACTACAGAACTAATGTCAAATTGTCCTTTCCATATGCACTGGATGAAGTTCACATTCCCCCCAATTACTGCAGAACTGATGCATAATAGAATGTCCAAGTACAGAGACAATGGGCTGAATGGTCTGCTTCTGTGCTGTGCCATATCTGTGATTCTGATTTTGGTGAGAAAGGAGCAGTTTTATCAGTGATACCACAGATCTCAGCCTCTCTAATCAAATAGGAAATGTGTGACCATGTGTCAGAATGATTCTCAGAATAAAGCAGTTCCCCCCCCTGTTTCACCCCATGTCCTCAGCTTCTCCACCCCCTCACTTACCACATGGACTGACACTCAATTCATAAATCACACAATGCAGAAGAGATTAAGACCCAGCCTCAACACCCCAATAATAACTATCACAGAGTGAATCATACAGTCACAGAGAATAATATTGGCTTTCAGAGACTTAGCCATTTTGATACACGAGGAGAAACTGACATGTACAGATTGATAACTACACCCACTTGTTCATATTGCAGAAGCGCACAAACAAATGATGATGACACATTGACTACAATGTAAATGTGTGACTATAGTTATCAGTTTCTGTTGGCTTCTGCTAATTTCAGTCAGGCATTCACATTGCAGTAACTGTCAGGGAGAGATTAATAACTACACTCTCATTCACAATGCTAAAACTGACAGATACAATGATAACTACAATCCCAGTTTCACAGAGCATAAACTGACAAGTGCAGACTGATACCTACACTCTCCTATTCAGAGCAGAATCTCACAGGTACATATTGGTAACAGCACTCACACATTCACCAAGCAGGTACTGACAGGTACAGTTCGATAAGGACATTTACATACTGACAAGGCAGAAACAGAGAGGCATAGACTGGTAACTGTACTCATATTGACACAGCAGAAACTGACAGGTACAGATTAATATTGTCACTGTCAATTCTCAGAGCAGAAATTAACGGGAGCAGACTGGTAAATACACTGACACATTTACATAAGAGAAACTGGCATGCGTATATTGATAAATGTATTGATTATATAAATGATTTGGAGTTGGGTGTTGAGGATAAAATCTCTAAATGTGCAGATAATACTAAGCCAGGGAGAAGAGTGAATTGTGATGATAATACTGAGTGACTTCACAGGGACATTGACAAGTTAGCCAAATGGGCAGAAACCTGGCAGATAAATTTCAATGCAGAAGAATATGAGCTCATGCATTTTGCTAACAAAAACACAGAGAAACAATACAAGCTCAATGGTACAGCTTTGAGGGGAGTATTGGAGCAGAGAGATCTTGGGAATTCACTTGCATCATTCTCTGAGGGTGGCCAGGCAAGTTGAAACAGTTGTTAAGCAGGGTCAAAGGGTCTTTGGGTTTAAAAATAGAGGCATTGATTATAAAAGCAAGGAAATAATGCTACACCTCTACAAATCATTGCTCAGACTACATTTGCGTTCAATTCTGGGCACCTTATTTAAGGAAGAACCCTCTGGAGAGGGTGCAAGGGAGATTTACTAGAACGATAGCAGGAATGAAGGATTTTACATACAAGGAAAAGTTAGTGAAATCTGGCTTATTCTCCTTGGAGCAGAGAAGATTAAAAGGGGACATTATGGAGGTGTTCAAAATTATGAAGAATTTTGAGAGGGTAAATTAGAATACTCTGTTTCCACTATGTCAGTAACCAGGGGTCACATCCGACACTTCCGCCATCTGCAATCTGACCCCATTACCAAAGATATTTTTCCCTCCCCACCCTTATCTGCTTTCCGGAGGGACCACTCTCTCCGTGACTCCCTTGTCCGCTCCACACTCCCCTCCAGCCCCACCACCCCTGGCACTTTTCCCTGCAACCAGAGCAAGTGCTACACCTGCCCCTACAGCTCCCCCCTCACCCCCATCCCAGGCCCTAAGAAGACCTTCCACATCCAACAGATGTTCACCTGCGCATCTGCTAATGTGGTATACTGTACCCGCTGTTCCCGTTGTGGCCTCCTCTACATTGGGGAAACCAAGCGGAGGCTTGGGGACCGCTTTGCGGAACACCTACACTCAGTTCGCAACAAACAACTACACCTCCCAGGCGCGAACCATTTCAACTCCCCCTCCCACTCCCACTCCTTGGACGAATTGTCCATCCTGGGCCTCCTGCATTGCCACAATGATGCCACCCGAAAGCTGCAGGAACAGCATCTCATATTTCGCTTGGGAACCCTGCAGCCCAAGGGTATCAATATGGACTTCACAAGCTTCAAAATCTCCCCTCCCCCGAACACATCCCAAAACCAGCCCAACTCGTCCCCGCCTCCCTAACCATTCCTCCCACCTCAAGCCCCACCCCCATCTCCTACCCACTAACCTCATCCCGCCTCCTTGACCTGTTCGTCCTCCCTGGACCGACCTATCCCCTCCCTAACTCCCCATCTACATTCACCTTTACTGGCTCCAACCCCACCTCTTTGACCTGTCCATCTCCTCTCCACCTATCTTCTCCTTTATCCATCTTCTATCCGCCTCCCCCTCTCTCCCTATTTATTTCAGAATCCCCTTCCCCTCCCCCATTTCTGAAGAAGGGTCTCAACCTGAAACGTCAGCCTTCCTGCTCCTCTGATGCTGGTTGCCCTGCTGTGTTCATCCAGCTCTACACCGTGTTATGTCACAATTTCAAGATTATCATCAAGAGAGCTAGGGTTGAGATGAAGAGAAACATCTTTACTCAGAGCATTGTTAGGATTTGGAATGCGCTGCCTGGGAGAGTGGTGGAGGTGGATTCCATATGAGGTATGAAAAGAGAGCAGGATATATATTTGAAAATGATGAAGTTAGAGAGCAATGTAGATAGGGCTGGAGAACAATCCCGCCTTGAATTATTTCTAGCTCATCACAATTAAAAAATAAATGAGGAGTAGATTCAATTCATTGGCTCATCTGCCCTCACCCACTGACCAGGAGATCAAATGGATACTCAAGTTAGGAATGCACAGCGCAAAAATCTCAAATCCCTGCCATCAAGGGTCAGATCATGTGACAGCGGGAGAAATTGGCCCGCTTAGAGTTATATGAGAGACGGTTATTCAGATGGTTTCTCAAGGCAAGTTCACCTTTGGAACTGATGTCTGGCTGAGTGAATGGAAACAAAGCTTAGCGATTTGTCAGCTGCAGAAACTTGCCACTCCTCTGTCCTCTCTTCCTTCTCCCCCTTATTTGCTGGAAGGGACAATTGCTATCTATCAATTTTTGAAGCTTCAAAGGGATTCTTCTGTGCTGTCTCAAAATGTCCGCGGAAGGTTGGCGTAAACGTTCCCCTCTTCATCTTGACCTGGTTCCTCATCCCCTTGCCTATCTGTGTGCCTCAGGGTGGCATATGTGATGCAGGATGGTTGCTGGTCTGCTTGGTCAGCCTGAAAATAGAACAGTATAGAACGAAGTAAATGAGGAGCAAGAGCAAAATTGGTAGCCTCATGAACAGTGAAGATGGTTATCTCAGAGTACAATGGGAACTTGATCAACCGGGCCAATGGGTCGAGGACTGGCAGGTGGAGTTTAATTTAGACAAATATGGAGATATTTCATTTTTGATGAGGCAAACCAGGGCAGGGCTGATACAGTTAATGATATGGCCCTGAGGAGGATTATCAGATGGATCTAGGGCTGCAGGCACATAGTTCCATAAAGTGGAGTCACAGGTGGACAGTGTGGTGAAGGCAGTGTTTGGCACACTTGCCTTCATCAGTCATAACATTGAGTATCAGAGTTGGGATGTTATGATGTACAAGACATTGGTCAGGCCACATTTCTAGTAGTGTGTACAATTCTGGATGCTCTGCTTCGGGAATGATGTTGTCAAGCTAGAAAGAACACAAAAAAGAATTTACAAGGATATTACTGAGACTGGAGGGTTTGAGTTCTAAGGAGACACTGGATAGGCTAGGACTGTAGGATGTTGAGTGGTGACCTTAGGAGGTCTATATAGTCGTGAGGGGTGTAGATAAGGTGAATATCCAAGGTCTTTTCCCCAGGGTAGGTGATTCCAAAAGTAGAGAACACAGGTTGAAGGTGAGAGGGGAAAGATTTGAAAGGGACCTGAAGGATAACTTTTTTCACGCAGAGGGTGCATGTATGGAATGAGCTGCCAGAGAAAGTGGTGGAGGCTGGTACAATTACAACATTTAAAAGGGATCTGGACAAGTACATCAATAGGAAAGGTTTTGAGGGAAATGGGCCAAATGCTGGCAAATGGAACTAGTTTAGTTTGGGAAACTTGGTCGGCATGGATGAGTTGAAACTAAGAGCCTGTTTCCGTGCTGTATGACTCTACGATCAGGGTATTTGGCCCTTCCAGCTTGCTCCGCCCATTCAGTGGGATCATGGCTGATTACCCCAGTTACCCCCTGTTCCTCCACTTTCTGTCTTTCACGCCTAAGAACTCAATGCAACTCCTTGAACAACATTCACTGTTCTGGCCCCAACCACTTTCAGTGGCAGACAATCTCACAGGCTCCCCACCCTCTGGGTGAAGACATATCTCGCCATCTCAGTCCTTCCCCGTCTCCTTTAGCCTGTGACTCCCTGATTCTGGACTTACGTGCCCTTGCCCCCCTACTCTGGCCAACAGCAACATCTGTGTTTACCCCTGTTTAGTCCTGTTAAAATTTGATAGGTTTCTATGAGATCACCCCTCATTCTTCTAAACACCAGTGAATATAATCCTAACCGATCCAGTCTCTCCTCATCCATCAGTCCTGCCATCCCAGGAATCAGTCTGGGAAACCTCTGCGCGCTCCTTCCATAGCCAGGACATCCTTCCTCAGAGAAGACCCCAAACTGCACATACAATACTGCAGGATGTGGTCTGTACCTGTACAATTGCAGCAAGACAGCCCTGCTCCTGGCCTCGAACGCTCTCGCTATGAAGGCCAACATTCTATTTGCCTTCTTCACCGTTTGCTGCTGCTGCAATGCTCACTGTCAGTGACTGGTGTATGAGGTACACCCGTTTTATTGCACCCCCGCATCCCTATCTGACACCTTTTGGATAATTTGTTTTCCTGGTTTTGCTCCCAAAGCGGATAACCTCACGCTGATCCACATTAAACTGGGTGAAGCATTTCAGTGTCAAGTCTACAAGCTGGACATTCGGAGGGGGCGGGCGGTGAGCAGTGGGGGTCGGAGGGGGTGGGCAGTGAGCGTGGGTGACAGAGGAGATGGTTGGTGAGAATAACACACTTTAGCTGGAAGATAGTGAGAGTGTACATGATGAGCTGTGAATATCTGGGGTCGTTATACCAACCAATTCCTCTTAGAAAAGCACACAATTGGAACAAGCCTAAAACTGACGATGATGAATGTTATTTCTCTGTACTCTGAACAGGATGTGGCCAGCTCTGCCAAGGTAGCAAGTGGATGCCAATCTCAAGATGTCCTTGAACGGATCGACTTGCTCAGCCTGAATGCAATGAAGAGTTCGCAAAGAGTTAGGAGTCAAGTGCAGAGCAGACCAGGTAAGAACGTCAGATTTCACTCCCTTAAGGATCATCAGAGACAGGAACGAGAGTAGGCCGTTCAGCCCCTCGAGCCTGCTCCGCCATTCAATAGGACTGTGGCTGATCCAACATTCCTCATGTCCACTTTCCTGCTCTTTCCCTTGATTCCCCGTCTGATCAAGAATCTGTCAATCCCAGCCTTAAATCTGCATTCCCCCTGCTGCCACACATACACACGGCTCTCTGTAGCAAGGAGTTCAAAAGACTCTTAGCTCCCTTAGAGAAGAAATACCTTCTCATGTCAGTCTTCACAAGTGAACCAAACGATCTTTGTTCCTGACAATGATCATCATTAGAGTCTTAACTCCAGATCTGTTCTGTTTAAAGTCGAATTCAAAATCCACCACCTGCCATGGCAAGATTCAAATTCAGGTCCTCAGAGTATATCCCAGCTATTTGACAAAATAGGATATTGCATTATTTCAGAAACTGAAAGCGAATCTCATCAAAATGCAATGTTAAGATCAGAATAAATTGCCCCACACCATTGAGCTAAACATCAACTACAGTGTACAGTGTAGAAGTAGGCCATTCGGCCCATTGAGTCCACACCAACCCTCCAAAGAGCATCCCACACAGACCTACTCCTCTGCATTTCCCCCGGTAAATCTGTCTAATCTGCACACCCCTGGACAGGATGGGCAATTTAGTATGACCAATCCAACTAACATGCACACTTTAGACTATGGGAGAAGACTGGAGCGCCTGGCAGAAACCATACAGCCACTGAGCCACTGTGTTGCCCAATGTTATTTTGCCGTGTAGGCCTTGGTTAGCTCAGTTGACTGTCTGGTCGTGCTGAAAGCATGTGGTTCAGTTTCTGCTCTGGTTGAGATTGCTGTGAATGATCATTCCCCTTGCCTTAGATGTGGTGACCCTCCAGTTAAACAATAAAACGGTTGTTGCTGTTGTCTCTCTCTCTCTGCAATGAGACAATGGTAAATCTACATTAACCACCTGCTAAAAATGTATCTTTGCTGATTAAAAATGAACTGCCAGCTTTTTCACTATAAAATAACTTACGTGTTTCCCTCCTGATGCAACATCACAGTGAGCTGTAAACAAAAGAAAAGACACTTTAACGACAGAATGTATCTAAATGCACGGGGAGCAGGTGCAGAGGCAGATTTACCAGGAGGCTGCCTTAGACGCTGGAGAGTGTCAGTGATGGAGAGAGATTGGACAGACTGGGGTTGTTTTCCTTAGAGCAGAGGAGATTGAGAGGCTGGACATGATTGAGATGTATAAAATGATGAGGGAGCATAGATTGGGTAAACAGGAAGAAACTTTTTCTCCTTGATGGAGGAACTAATGAGGAAAAATGTTTTCACCCAGAGGGTGGTGGGGAACCTGAAATTCTCTGTCTGTAAAGATGGGAGAGGCAGAAACCCTCATCACATTGAAGAAGGATTTCAATGTGCACTTGGGATGCTAAGGCAATGGGCTAAGTGCTGGAGAAATGGAATGAGAGAATAGTGAAGTGGTTGTTTTTGACTGGCACAGACTTTTTTTTGTGCTGTAGACCTCTTCGGCACTGTGATGAACCCACTTTGAGATGTGCGTTCTACATCCAAGATACTATCTAAACGTAAGGTGATTTTGTCCATTTAATTCTCAAAGATAAGGAGTTTGTCTTATGGAGAGACATTGAGCAGTTTAGGCCGATAATCTCTGGAGTTTAGAAGAATGAGAGGAGATCTAACTGTGGGATCTTAGACGGAAAGGAGACAGAAAGAGAATGTTTGCTCATGTAGGACAATCTAGAACAAGAGGTCACCATTTCAGGAGAAGGGGGTGGGACAGATTGAAAACAGAGATGAGGAGGAATACCTCTCTCCAAGGGAGAGAGGGATGTGAATCTGTGGGATTTTCAGTGCTGTGGGTGCACACTGCTGCTACTGAGTGTGTGGGGGATGTCGGGACACTGAATAAATTGGAGGAGGAGACAGACAGATTTTTAATCTATGATGGGTTACAGGGAGTGGGGGCAGGAAAGTGGAGTTGAGGCCAAGATGAGATCAGCTACGCCGTATCGAATGGGGCCGCAGGCACCCAAGAGGCTGAATGGTCTCCTCCTGCTCCTAGCCCTGAGGTTGGATTGGTCATTCACTTGCTTGAGCACGTTTTAGTGTGGGTGGTACATAGAATAGGGACAGAAAGCTCTTATTCTGAGGTGCTAAAGTATGTAATCCGTTACAGGTAACTCAGTAAGAGTGAATCTAAGACCATATGATAACGGGGCAGAATTAGGCCATTTGGCCCATCAAGTCTGCTTCGCCATTTGATTGAGGCTGATATGTTTCTCACCCCCATTTTCCTGCCTTCTCCCGCTGGCCCTTGATTTCAATACCAATCAAGAACCTATCTATCACTGTCTTAAAGACACTCAATGACTTGGCCTCCACAACCCTCTGTGGAAATGAGTTCCACTGATTCACCACCCTTTGACTGAAGAAATTCCCGCTCATCTCAATTCTAAATGGTCATCCCTTCACACTGAGGCTGTGCCCCTCATGTCCTAGTCTCTCCTATTCGTGAAATCATCTCCTCTGTTCACTCTATCCAGGCCTCTCAGTATTCTGTAAGTTTCAATCAGATTTCCCCTCATCCTTCTAAACTCCATTGAGTACAGACACAGAGTCCTCAACCACTCCTCATCAGACAAGCCCTTTATCCCTGGGATCTTGTAAATCTCCTCTGGACCCCCCTCCAAGGTCAGCACATCCTTCCTGAGATACGGGGCCCAAAGCTGCTCACAATATTCCAAATACGGTCTGACCAGAGGCTTATACAGCCTCAGCAGTACATCTCTGCTCGTGTATTCTAGCCGTCTTGAAATGAATGCTAACGTTACATTAACTGCCAAATGAACTTGCATGTTAACCTTAAGAGAACCCTAAACTAGAAATCCCAAGTCCCTTTGCGCTTTAGATTTCTGAATCCTTCCTTATTTGGAAAACAATCTATGCCTCTATTCCCACCAAAGTGCATAACTTCACACTTTCCCCCATTGTATTCTATTTGCAATTTCTTTGCCCACTCTCCTAGCCTGTCCAAGCCCTTCTGCAGCCTCCCTGCTTTCTCACCATTACCTGTCCTTGCACCTAACTTTCTGTCCAATATAGCAGTTAGCCTTCAGTGTACGTTTCCCTCTTCCAATTCACATTACCCTGTTGTCAATTTAGTTGACATTGATGGAATTTGACAATGATTTGGGTGAATTGCAAACACTATCATGATTAGTAAATTCAAATCACGTAAAAAGATTCGAGTAGCTTGGGCAGGTCTTTGTTCCAGGCTTTAATCAAGAGGAAACCAGTTATGATTAAAAGTGGCTGGGATTTTGAGGGTCAAGACGAACCCGAGAAAATCTCCACTTTCACTGAGCCAGAAAGGTCATAAAAATATATGTACTGTATCCTTTACCAGTGTTTCCTGGCTTTGAGATAGTGACGATCGAGTACACCAAACCACCATCCATTTTGGAATCATCTATAATCAAGAAACAATAAGCAAAGGGAATTGAAAGGTTAGAGAACAGAATGTTAAAATGACATCAAAGAAGAGATAATTAAGGTCAGAGAGCCAACCCGGCAGGAATATAAACCGAAGCTCTTGGCAATGTACAGACATTTCTCACAGCAGGTCACAGAGCAGGTGACTCAACAACATTGAGTCTGGGAAATTGACAATGGAAATAACGAGATGTCCAATGAATTCAATGGATATTTTGCATCAACATTCGGTACAAAGTGTGCACCTATCCTACCAGAACAAGCTAACAATAGGGAAATGGAAAGTGGAGGCCTGGGAAGTTTAATTTTTTTATTCAATCATCTGGCATGGGCATCACCCGCATTTATCGCCCAGCCCATCCACAATTGCCCCCTTGAGAAGGTGGTGGTGAGTTGCCTTCTTGAACCGCTGCAGCCCACCTGCTGTCGGCAGACTCTCAATGCCCTTCGGGAGGGAATTCCAGAATTTTGACCCAGTAACACTGAAGGAGTGGCTGATATATTTCCAAATCGGGATGGTGAGTGGCTCAGTGGGGAACTTGCAGGGTGTGATGTTCCCCATATATCTGCTGCCCTTCTAGATGGATGTGGTTATGGGTCTGGAAGGTGCTGTCTGGAGGATCTTTGGTGAATTTCTTCAGTGCAGCTTGTTGGAGGTACAGACTGCTGCTACTGAGCATCAGTGGTGGAAGGAATGGTTGCTTGTGGATGTGGTGCCAATAAGCAGGAGCTGGCTGCTTTGTCCTTGGATGGTGTCAAGCTTCTCAAATATTGTTGGATCTGCACCCATCCAGGCAAGTAGGGAGTATTCCCTCACACTCCTCACTTGTGACTGAGATACTGGGAATGGCTCAATCAGGGCAGCTTCTGACCATATAACCTCCAAAAGGAAAGAAATCCTGAAATACCAATACTGTTTTGTCTTCCTTAGATGGATACCAGCGTCTCCCCTACAATTTACAATTTACAATTTACCCATCTCAAGCAACCTCCCTCAAATAAACAGAAAGCCTTTGTTTTTCCGTTGTTTCATAATATTTCTCCGACTTTGCTCCATTGCTCTAGAATATCAAGGTTTGTGAACAAAATGTATGTTTACCATCATGTGTCCCTGTGTTCTTTACTGAACTGTACGCGGCTCCAGCACAGCTCGTCACTAAAGGGTCAAAAGAAAAGACGGAGATTTGTCATCAACAGCAAACAGTCAGTCGCCAGGCGGCAAATAATATCTGTCCCTGCTGAGTTTCTCCAACAATTTCTGTGTTTCTTTTTATTTCTGACATTCATTGACTGAAGAAAGCTAGTGTAATGCTGGCCTTTATATCTAAAGGACTGGAGTACAAGGACACAGAAGTTATGCTGCACTCGTACAAAACCCTGGTTAGACCCCACTTGAAGCAGATCTGGGTATGACACTTCAGAAAGGATAGATTGGCCTTGGAGGGAGTACAACGTAAGTTTACAAGAATGATACTTGGACTTCAGGGGTTAAGTCATGAGGAGAGATTAGACAAATGAGCCTGTTTTCTGTAAAATTTAGAAGGTTAAGGGGTGATCTGATTGAAGATATTAACAGGAAAAGACAGGATGGATAAATAGAAACTATTTCCACTGGCTGGGGTTTCTGGAACAAGGGAGAATTAGGGCCAGACTGTTCAGGAGAGATGTCAGGAAGCACTTCCACACACAAAGGGTGGGAGAGGTTTGGAACTCTCTTCCACAAACAACAGTGGACGCTGGAATGGTTATTAGTGTTCAATCTGTGAGAGAGAATTCTTTTGTTGAGCTAATGTATTGAGGGGATAAATGCCAAAGGCAGGTATATGGCAGAACAGCCTCAAGGAAATTAATGGCCTACTCCTGATTTTTTTTTTTGTACGAATGTTCAATGTTCATAAATCAGGAAGACTCTGCAGTTACAAAGTGTCATTTTCACACATTGGTGCAATTACAGATTTGAAATACATCCAATTGTTTATTTTCATGCACTCCAGATCCTCACCACCCTCTGGGAGAAACAGTCCTCAAATCCCCTTCTACACCTCTTACTGTTCACCTTAAAATGTTGCCCCCTCTTCCCTTGTCATTGACCCTTCAACTGAGGGGAACAGCTGCTTCCTATCCCCCTGTCCATGCCCTTCATAACAGAGTCACCGAAACAGACCTTCAGTCCAACTCGTCCATGCTGACCATGTTCCCAAACTAAACTAGTCATACCTGCCTGTGTTTGGCCCATATCCCCCCAAACCTTTCCAATTCATGTACTTCTCCAAATGTCTTTTAAATGCTGTACCTGTACCCACATCCACCACTTCCTGTGGAAGCTCATTCCCTACATGAACTGCTCTCAGTGTAAAACAAAAATTGCCCTTCATGTCTTTTTTTTTAATCTTTGCCCTCTCACTTTAAAAAGAATCCGAGTTTTAAACTCCCCCAGCCTAGGGAAAAGACACCTGCCATTCTCCTTATCTGTACCCTTGTTATTTTATAAATCTCTATCAAGTCACCCCTCAACCTCCTATCCTCTGGTGAAAATAGTCCCAGCCTATCCCACCTCTCCCTTTAACTCACCCCTTCCATTCCCACCAACGTCCTGATACGTCTTTTCTGAGCTCTCTCCAGCTTAATAATATCCTTCCTGGAACAGGACAGCCAGAACTGGACACAGTACTCCAGAAGAGGCCTGAACAACATTGTGTACAACCACAACATGATGTCCAAACTCCTATACACAATGGTCTGAGCAATGAAGGCAAGTGTGCTCAATGCATTCTTAACCACTCTGTCAACCTATGACTCAAACTCCAAAGAATTATGTGCCTGAACCCATCAGTCTCTACAAAACCATTTTACACACCTCTATTATTTTCGCCTCCCTCAACAACCTTTTCTGTTGTAAAGAAAACAACCCAAACTTCTCTCCATCGCTTACAGAAAAAAGATTTGTTTCTGTCGGTCTTCCCAATCGGACAAATACCAGCACGAACAATGACTAACACATGACATTGTAGAACCGGTCGCTCACAGATTCACACTCACCATTCAGTCGATTTGGCCCAATCTCTGCATATTCAAAATTTCTTGCGGGTCTGTCCTCACTTGTGTCCTCAGCTCAATTTCCCATCGCCTTGCTTGGAAGGAAATATTTTCAGATTGTTACCCAAGCAAGTTTCTATTCCCCTTGCGACAACGATTCACAATCTTCTACCCATTTGAGAGAAGCCATTTGTTCTCACTTCTGCTTTTGATCTGCCCCACCCCTTTCTCCTGAAACAATGACTCTTGTTCTAGATTGCCCCACATGAAGAAATATCCTCTCTCCATCTATTTTGTCAATTGCCCCATTTAGCATATTCTATCCCTCAATTTAATCTCCTCTCATTCTTCTAAACTCCAGAGGAACTGCTCAATCTCTCTTCTAAGACAAACCAGTCAACTTTGGAAATGATCTAGGGAATCTCTTTTGAACTGCCTTCAATGCAACTACATCCGCCCTCAAGTAAAGAGACCAAAATTGTACTAGTCTCTCCTCATAAGGCTAACCTTTCATTTTGGTAATCAATTCAGTGAAACTCCTCTGAACTCCCTCCAATGCAACTACATTCCTCCTCATGTCAGGGGACCAAAGGTCTACACAGTACTCCAGATGCAGAAACCCCAATGCCTTGTACATTTGAGAAATCACACAAACACCAATGGGTTTATTTGAAATTACAAGATTTCGGAGTGCTGCCCCTTTGTCAGGTGAAGTGAGGGAGAAGCACACAGACACAGAATTTATAGGCAGAGAGATCAAAAGATCATACAAATGCTTTGAGTGGAGTCTCGAATAATCAGTCTCTTCAGGTGATCAAAAGTTTCAGAGTATTCATAGGGCGTTAACAGCTGAATAACAAGTGAAGGGATGAGCTATAATCCGATTAAATGAGGCAGAGATAATTACAAAAACTTAAAAATATGGTGGTGCTGCAGACAAACCAAATGAGTGAAATAACATGACATGTACAAGAGTCGTATGCCAAGCATTTAACCAAAGTAATAAGTAAACTAAAACTGTATAAACTAATTAAGGTAGAGAGATCATAACAATTTATCAAGGTGATGGTGTCAAAACAGGACAGTGAAGAACATTTTACAAATACAGAACTATGGGTGGGGTTACATATAGCACGACATGAGCCCAAGATCACGGTTGAGGCCGTCTTCTTGGGTGCAGAACTTGGCTGTCAGTTTCTGCTCGGTGATTCTGCATTGTTGTGTATCTCAAAGGCCACCTTGGACGATGCTTACCTGAAGATCAGGGGCTGAATGATTCTTAATGTTACAAGTAATTCTGTTGACACTTTTTGATCACCTGCAGAGACTTATTATTCGACACTCCACTCAAAACCTTTATATGATCTTTTGATCTCTCTGCCCTTTATCTCTCTGCTACAAATTCTGTATCTATGTGCTTGTGATTTCAAATAAATCTGTTGTACTGTAACCTGGTGTCATGTGACTTCTGATATTGTCCACCCCAGTCGAACACCAGCACCTCCACTTCAATGTCTGGTTGAAGCAACACTTCCCTACTTTTATACTCCATGCCTTCAGCAATAAATGTCTTTTTATTATTTGCCGTAGCAGCATGCCCGATTTCTGAGATTCATGCTTAAGGACATTCAGATCCCTCTGCACTAATAAATTTTTAATTTTCTCTCCCATTCAGATGGTAAGTTGCCTTTTTCAGTTCTTCTGACTACAATGGATAACCCCATCACTGATGTGACTGAGCCACACACATTTCAGTGTCAAATGGAGGCAACCGTGATAATATCTACACTCATGGGGTTGAGATCCCCCAACCGTGATAATATCTACACTCAATTTGATCTGTTTTGCTTTCAATTTGCAAATGAGTCAGACACAATAGTACATTTTCCACAATGTAAAATTACTGGGTTTGCACCCCACAGCGATTTTCACCCCGTTTGGACTGTTTTTGAAACCTGTTACAAGTCACCAGCCACCTCACTAACTTACCTCTGCTGCTGGGAACTGCTGGAAGAATCAGCTGGAGAAAATAAGAGAGAGAAAACATGGGAATGTTTTACTGCAAATATTCGGCTTCACCTGTTTGCAAATGAATTTGGTTTCTTTGACTGATGCCCAAGTAGCAATAATTCCAATTTTAATCTTTAGTTTACATCTGTGCTGACCATTCTTTCGAACACAACACCCTGCAACTCTCTCGTAATCTCTTCGGCCCTGAAACTGCTCGACCACGTCCTGAAGCAAACCAGGTACTACAGCGATGCCGACACAGCTCCGCCCACCACCTCCACAGCCAGCAGCTCCAGAGGAGACAGCAGCACCCAGCCCTGCCGAGTCTTCACCATCCCCCCAGACCTACCCCTTACTGAGGACGAACGGTCAGTCCTCAGTAAAGGGCTCACCTTTGTCCCCCTCCACCCACAGATCAATGAATAGCGCTCACGCTTGGACATAGAGCAGTTTTTCCGCCGCCTCCGCCTCCACGCTTACTTCTTTAACCGTGAACCTAACCCTCCCTCTACTGACCCCTTCTCCCGCTTCTGACACACCCCCTCCTCCTGGACGCCACCCCAAGGCCTCCTACCCTCCCTCGACCTCTTCATCTCCAACTGCCGTCGAGACATCAATCGCCTCAACCTCTCCACCCCGCTCACCCACTCCAACCTCTCCCCTGCAGAACGTGCAGCCCTCCGCTCCCTCTGCTCCAATCCCAACCTCACCATAAAACCCGCGGACAAGGGAGGCGCAGTTGTAGTATGGCGCACTGACCTCTACATTGCCGAGGCCGGACGCCAACTCTCCGACACCTCCTCCTACCGCCCCCTTGATCATGACCCCACCCCTGAGCACCAAACCATCATCTCCCAAACTATCCACAACCTCATCACCTCAGGTGACCTCCCACCCACGGCCTCCAACCTCATCGTTCCCCAACCTCGCACTGCCCGCTTCTATCCCCTTCCCAAAATCCACAAACCTGAATGCCCTGGTCGACCCATTGTCTCCGCCTGCTCCTGCCCCACCGAACTGATCTCCAACTATCTAGACTCCATTTTCTCCCCCTTGGTCCAGGAACTCCCTACCTATGTCCGTGACACCACCCACGCCCTCTACCTCCTCCAGAACTTCCAATTCCCCGGTCCCCAACACCTCATCTTTACCATGGACGTCCAGTCCCTCTACACCTGCATTCCCCATGCAGATGGCCTTAAGGCCCTCCGCTTCTTCCTGTCCCGCAGGCCCGACCAGTCCCCCTCCACTGATACCCTCATCCGCTTAGCCGAACTCGTCCTCACACTCAACAACTTCTCTTTCAATTCCTCCCACTTCCTACAGACAAAGGGGGTAGCCATGGGTACCCGCATGGGCCCAAGCTACGCCTGCCTCTTTGTAGGTTACGTGGAACAATCCCTCTTCCGTACCTACACCGGCCCTAAACCCCACCTCTTCCTCCGTTACATTGATGACTGTATCGGCGCCGCCTCGTGCTCCCACAAGGAGCTCGAACAGTTCATCCACTTCACTAACACCTTCCACCCCAACCTTAAGTTTACCTGGACCAGCTCTAACACCTCTCTCCCCTTCCTGGACCTCTCTGTCTCCATATCGGGCAACCACCTAGAAACCGATATTCATTTCAAGCCCACCGACTCCCACAGCTACCTAGAATACTCCTCCTCCCACCCACCTTCCTGCAAAAATGCTATCCCCTATTCCCAATTCCTTCGCCTCCGCCGCATCTGCTCCCAGGATGAGGCATTCCACTCCCGTACATCTCAGTTGTCCTCGTTTTTCAAGGACCGTAACTTCCCCTCCTCGGTGGTCGAGAACGCCCTCAACCGTGTCTCCCACATCTCCCGCACCTCATCCCTCACACCCCGTCCACGCAATAAGAACCAAAAAAGACTCCCCCTCGTCCTCACGTACCACCCCACCAACCTCCGGATCCAACGCATCATCCTCCGACACTTCCGCCATCTGCAATCCGACCCCACCACCAAAGACATCTTTCCCTCCCCACCTTTATCTGCTTTCCGGAGGGACAACTCTCTCCGTGACTCCCTTGTCCGCTCCACACTCCCCTCCAGCTCCACCACACCCGGCACTTTTCCCTGCAACCGCAGGAAGTGCTACACCTGCCCCCATACCTCCTCCCTCACCCCCATCCCAGGCCCCAAGAAGACTTTCCACATCAAGCAGATGTTCACCTGCACATCTGCCAATGTGGTATACTGCATCCGCTGTACCCGGTGTGGCTTCCTCTACATCGGGGAAACCAAGCGGAGACTCGGGGACCGCTTTGCAGAACACCTACGCTCGGTTCGCAACAAACAACTGCACCTCCCAGTCGCGAACCATTTCAACTCCCCCTCCCATTCCTCAGACGACATGTCCATCCTGGGCCTCCTGCAGTGCCACAACGATGCCACCCGAAGGTTGCAGGAACAGCAACTCATATTCCGCTTGGGAACCCTGCAGCCCAATGGTATCAATGTGGATTTCACAAGTTTCAAA